AGGGAAAGGGATAAAGCTTGGTTTGTCCGACGGTGACAACATGGAATCTTCAGAAGGAACAGGTGAAGGGAGACCTTGGGCTAAAAGAGTTCATAAGGCAACAGAGAAGAGTTTGAGTGAAGAAAGAAGCAAGAATTTCCAACTTCCGAGAGGTTGTAGATGCTTTTGTGGGTGCGTAAGAGGCTAGGTGGCTGGCCCTCAAGAGCCACGGGAAGACAAATGAAGATTTGGAGCTGGAATTGCAGAGGTTTAAACAATAGGGAGTCCTCTACAATTCCATTTATTAGTAGTATGTGTAATAAATTTAGAGTTAATGTAGTTTTTATTTCAGAATCTAAGTGTAGTGTTAGTAGCTTAGTACCGGTCTTTAGTAAACTCGGTTTTAAGGATTGTTTTGGGGTAGATGCTTTGGCGGAAGGATCGGGGGGCTGTTTCTTTGTTGGTCTTGTAAGTTAGAAGTAATCTCATCATAACGCTATCAGTTGTAAAGCGTGGGATGAGTTTAACAATGTTATATATATTTCGTTTGTGTATGGCTCGCCTTACTTAGATTGTAGAATGGGGGTTTGGGATGCTTTAAGACTTTTCCTGCGCAACTTTAAAGGAAACCACCTTATGATCGGGGACTTTAATCAAGTTGAATGGAGTTCCTAGAAAAAGGGTGGTGCATTGCCGATCAGAGGAGCAACGAATTTCACAAATTGGAGGGTGAATCATGGACTTATGGATGTCCCGCACAAAGGACTGGATTTCACCTGGACTAATAATAGGCTAGGTGAGGAACATATCATGAATAGACGGGATAGGGCTTATTGCAATGTGGCATACAAAGATCTTTGCTCAGAAGCGATAGTGTAGAATTTTCCTATTTTCATCTCGGATCATGGACCAATTCTTTTTGACTCGCATCCAAGGAAGCTTGAAAGAATTAATAGGCCATACAAGATCGAAGCCTAGGCTTTGAGCTATCTGGAAGTCCAGTAGGTGATTGCTGATTCTTGGAAATAAGATTTTAGGGGCTCGAGGATGTACTCTCTTCAGCAAAAAATAAAGGTAGTTCGTGGCAAGCTGAGATCTTGGTGCCTGAATTTTAGAGACGAGCGTAAGATCAACTAGGAGAAGATCAATGATTCATTAGCAAGTCTGCAATCAGCGGATATGACAGAGGATGACATTGTGCGGGAGAAGAATTTGAGGAAGCAATTGGAGGAGGAAGTAGAAATTAAGAACTCTTTTTAGAGGCAAAGAGCAAAAGGAAAATGGGAAAGTCTAGGAGATAGATCAACATCTTTCTTCTTCAGGGCAATCAAGGGAAGAAAACTAAAAAATGAAATCAGAGTGCTGCAACTTGACGAAGAAAATTGGTGTTCGGATCCAAAGATGATCAAACAGGAATTTGTTAGTCATTTCAAGTCCATATACTTCAAGGAGGAGATGCAGGATCCTAGTGCAGGGGTAAATTCTACAGCTTTATCTGCAAAATGGTTACATCAACTACCACAACTTTCTGAATTCCATATCTCTCACCTGATTAGGGAGTTCACAAGGGATGAGGTTAGGAATCAGTTTTTGACATGAAACCGTTAAAAGCTCCAGGGCCAGATGGATGCCCCCCCAATACTATTCCAAAAGTACTGGGATACTATGGGGAAAGACATTTTCTTGGCAGTTAATAGTTTCTTCACTGGAGGACACATTCTAAAAGAGTGGAATAAAACGTTCATATGCCTGATTCCAAAGGAGGAAAATGCCAAGAAAGTGGACTTGTTCCGACCAATTGGATTGTGCAATACTGTTTATAAGGTGGTCTCGAAGTGTCTGGTAAACAGATTGAAGCCCATCCTGCAAGATTTGGTCAGGGATTTTCATAATGCTTTCATTCCTGGGAGACTGATGACAGATAGTGCACTAATGGGACATGAGCTGATCCAATATGTAAAAGGGAAGAAAAGGAAAGATGGGAGCTTTGCAAGAGTGATGAAAGTTGATCTAAACAAGCCTACGACAGGGTGAGATGGGATATCATTATTGACATCTTGAAAGCCATGTCGTTCCCAGAAAAATGGATCCAGTGGATAAATCAATGCATGTCAACAGTCAGCTACGCAGTTCTGGTGAATGGCGATCAATCAGACTGGTTTTACCCAAGAGCAGGCCTACGACAAGGAGACCTGTTATTCCCGTATTTGTTCATTCTTTGCATGGAAGTCTTATCACAATGGCTTTCTTGGCTGTAGGGACAGGGAAGTATTATAGGAATTAGAGCTGGCAGGAACTCATTTATTCTTTGCAGATGATGCATTGATGTTTTTTAAACCAAGTATGGAGGTATGCGAGAAACTGAGGAGATCGTTGGATGAGTTTGTGAGATTTCGCGGGAGGTGGTTAGTGCAAAAAAGTCTTTTGTTATGTTCAGCCCGAATACTCCTTCGACATTTGTGAAAATTTTCAGGAAATCTCTTAGCATGACAAGTAAGAGCTCATTTGGAACATATCTGGTATGCCCTATGGAGGTAGATGGAAGAAGTCTCTCTCAGTTCGATTTTCTTGTGGAGAAGATCTCGAAGAAAATACTCTCGTAGAAATTTACTGCTTTATCCCAAGCTGGAAGACTCCTCTTGATTAACTCAATTCTAGTAGCTATGTTGGCACACATCTTAGCCTTATACTTGCTACAAAAGAAAATTTTGGGAAAAATTGGCTCCATATGTTTGAAGTTCTTCTGGGCTGGAGTAAAAGATAAAAAGCCAATCTATCGGAAGAAGAGAGAGGTGCTGGAGAAACATAAGATGGAAGGAGGTCTTGGCCTGAGAAATGTGCTGAAACTTAATCAAGCTATGATCCTCAAACAGGCCTGGAGAGTACACTATAATAGGAGTACGCTAATGAGTAGACTCATTATGGGTAGGTATGGTAATTCACCAATAGAACGAGGAGCCAAGGGAAAGTAGCCAATTAAGTGTTCATGGGCATTTAGAGGGATGACAAAAACAACAATCCACATGAAGGAGGGCTTCTGGTATAAGGTAGGAAGGGGTAACAGTGTGAGTATTGAGGGACATAGGTGGACAAATGAAGGAAAGGTGAATTTGAAATCGAGTGCCAGCGAGGAGGATAGAAGGAGTTATAGGAGAGTCTCTGACTTGATAGAGGAGAGGGGGGGGGGGGGATGGAAAGCAGGGGTCATTTGGGGACTTTTTGACACGGAATTAGTGAACCACATCCTGTCCACTTCCCCAAGGTTTGATATGGATGATGAAATTCTATGGGGGGAAACTCAGAGTGGGGAGTATACTGTGAAGTCGGGTTATAGATGGTTAGAGGGACTTCAAGATGGGCAGGATACCTGGTTTTGGAAGAAGTATTGGAAGTTGAACATACCGCCTAATTGGCTTTTGCTGGGGTGGAAAGTCATGTAGAATGCCAGTAGTTGTAGCACAGAGCTCGCAAAAAGAGGGATATGTGTTAATATTACATGCGTCTTGTGTAATAAAAGGACTGAAACACCAGCCCATCTGTTCAGGGACTGTGAAATTGTCAAGAGGGTATGGCTTTGCAGTTACATGGGAATCAGGGTTCAAGAGGAGATTATTACTGTGGAGGAGTGGCTCAGAAATTTACTTGCATACGCTTTCAAAATGAGGATTGAGTATCCTATGCTCGCGGGAAGTATCCCGACAACTCTGTGGTGTATTTGGAAGCATAGGAATGATATTATTTTCAGAATGGCCAGAACGTCGCCTATTCGAATTATGCATATGCTTAAGGAAGCAACGAATACAGTATTAAAGGGACTGGAGAAAAGGGGTGCAATCTTGGGAGAGTAGGAGCTCATTGATCGAGACAAGAAGGAGTCAAATTACTGGTAGAGGGGTACGCATGTACCTCATGAGGTAGCAATTGTAACAGTGGACGGTGCATGGAAGAAGGCTCGTGGGAGACTGGACTCAGCAGCAGTAGGGTGGGTTCTTTCGAAAGAGGATTCTCTGGTGCAGGAAGGGAGCAAGCTGGTGGTAGGTAGCTCGGCTCTTCAGTGCGAGTTATTGACGATAAGGGAGGGCATCTGCATAGCAATACAACAGTTTAATCAACTGGAGATCAGAACGGATAGCAGACTTAGTGTTGAAGCCATCAGGCACCCCTACTAGGCACCAAAGCATCTGCGGAATCTGGTTTTAGATATCCTCCAACTAATCCCTAGTCTTTCTTATTTTTGTTGTTGCCATGTACCTAGAAATGTTACCTCTAGAGCCCATGACCTGGCATTAAAGGCCAGGAAAGTCGGTTAGGGGTACCATTCAGTAAGGGTCTCTTGTTTCCTAGTTGTCACAAAAAAAAAAAAAAAAAAAAAAAAATCAAGGGTGTAATAAAAAACATACCCCTAACTTTTTAATATTTTTACATGCATAACCACTATTGAAAATAGTATTTGTATTATTTATTTACAACCACATCACTAAAGAAAAAGACACACTTCTTAATATCCTTTCCAACTCTCACTTGACTTTCCTACTGAATTGGATGAGTGAGTCTGGGCGCATAGCACCTATGGGCGAGTTATGTAAATAGGAGGGTAAAGAAGTAATTTCCGCTGATTCAATTTTTGGTTCTAGAAAAAGTTGGCTCTCTAGTGGTACATTATAATGTACCATTATACATGTATAATGTACCACTAAAGTATAATTTGTCTGAATAGTATGTTTAGTGGACTATTACGAGTGTAGTGGTACGTACTTTTTACCGTCATATAATTTTCAACTTCTGGAAAAAGTTGACTCTCTAATGGTACATTATAATGTATCATTATACATGTATAATGTACCACTAAAGTATATGTTATCAGAACAGTACTTTTTAATTGCAAAATTGTCATCCTATATACGCTGAAATCAATAGACACTATGCGCCAAGACTTAACCGAATTGGATCAACCCCAACTCCCAAGAGTATCCCTATCTCTTGTTTATAGTTTGTTTTGAAACTTCCCCCTCACTTTCAAGTTTCAACCCCCTTTCCCAATATATTTTATATTTTTTTCTGTCTTAATTTTTTTTTTCTTGAAAAAAATGAACACTAAACTGCTGGAGTTATTGAGTTAAAGCATTTCAAAGATCTATCAAATTTCTTTGAAAAGAATCTTTTCATTTTTAGAAAGAATAATCTTCTTCTTTATATTTACTTCCTTTGAATTTTCTTCCTACATTTTCATTTACAGCCTGTACTATTCCGTACTACTTCCTTCTATATAATACAGTTCATCACTTCAAGATTTTCGCTGTTTTTTTATTTTTTATTATTATTTTTTTTAATTCAGTAGGATCATAATTTCTGGGGTTTTTCGTTGGAGTTGGAACTTGGAAGTACAATGGAATTATCAACTCATCAATCTCGACTTGTAAGTTTTTTTTTTTGTTTTTTTTTTTTTTATTTTTATTTTGTTTGGGATTGGATTTGGGGTTATTATTATATGTATAAATATAATAATTTTAAGTGTTTAATTCAAAATTTATGAACTTATCTAGTGTTTTTGAGTAATCTTTTAGTATATTTCTCTATTTTTGATGTGGGTATGATTTTATTTAAATGTTTGATGCTTGCATTGTTAATTTTCTGAAATCAAAATTTGAATTGAATTGATGGTGTTTGCAAGTTTGTTAGAAATAAAGTGGATAATTTAGATGCAATATTGAGAAATGAAGCCTTAGTTGTCACGGAATTATAGATGGAAACGTTTAATTGCAAACGTGTTTGTATGCCAATTATGGTAAATGAATAAATGATGGTATACTTCTGTAATGTAGTAGTTTCATCAATAGCTCCAAATATTACACATTGAGTGTACGCCACTGATATTGGGTATACAATTTTGAAATGCATCATTCTTTTCATTTGAGTAGATTAAGGAATACGATAGTGACTTTATACACGAATTCGTATAAATCTTGTCATTTACATATCCATGTAATGCAATAACATTGTAAGATGTTACTTCTTACTTTTATTTGCATAGAGGTGTTGCCGTGTGGTCATTTGGGTATGAGTGTTTAATGGAATTTATGAAGAAAAATACGTATATGATACTGGTTCTGCCGATGTGCTTACCACGGACATTCATGTGGGGGTATTTAATGTGAAATTATTTGCAAATCGTTATCATGTGCTTAATTGACGACTTCGTATGAGATGAGCGATAGGTAAATGTGGATGTGAGGAGTTTACCTCACATCATAGTAGTGGTGGAAGTTTACAATTTCACTTGTTTACTTGCTTATACTGTTCATGCTCCATAGGTCGTATTATACCATTACTTTTGTGTTTCTAAAATAGGATGTCTTTCTTGTTGACTACAGTTGTGACTTAAGAACTGGAATTGTAGTCTAACTACTTGTCCAACTTTTGGATGTGTTTGTTCCTCAATATATAAAAGATTGCACCAGTATTTGCTTAAATAATCGCCCCTAGTTGGATTAATAGATAGGGTTAGAACTCTGTAGAAAGTAAAGGAAGGTTTTTTTTTTAACATAAAAAGAGCATATATTACTTGGGCTAAAGCCCTAAATATATTACAGCCTAAAAACTATTAACTTGCAAAAGTAAAGGAAGGTTGGTTTTGCTTTTTGTAGCTTTTACCTATGTGCTATATCCTTATCTCTAGGTCAATCCTGGCTGTTTGATTCCTTTTATTCAATTAACATGTTGGCATGGTTCTACTCTTTATTCCTCATTTTTTAGTCCAAAGCTTTTCATTGGTGCTAAATTAGAGATGGGTCTTTTATGCTATGTTTGGATAACAAATTAGAAGGGAAATGGAAGGGAGGGAAATAGGAGGAAGGGGAAGGAAGGGAAAGTGGAGGAAATGATGAGCTCCATTTTCCCTCCAAATCTCTCCAATTTTGAAGGGATAGTCTTTATCAAAGGAGGAGGGAAAATGGATCCCTCCCTCCCCCTCCCCTTCCCTCCCCCAACATATTATCCAAACAAGGAACTTTGTCTCCCTCTCTTTCCCTTCCCTTCCTTTCCTTTCATTTTTTGTTATCCAAACATAGCCTTAGTTTATTTTTGTCAATCACTTTCCTGCTTTGAATTTTGTCTTTAATTGGTCAATCAAAATTTACTGTGTTGGTTACAGGAGATGTACCGGAAGACGTTCTGTCTTGCCTACCAGAGTTTGGGGATTGTCTATGGTGATCTAAGCACATCTCCTATATATGTTTACAAGAGTACATTCTCTGGGAAATTGCGTTTATATGAGGAAGACCTTGAAATCTTTGGCATTCTCTCTATGGTTATCTGGACACTGACTCTGATCCCTCTTTGCAAGTACATCGTTTTTGTTTTATCAGCTGATGACAATGGAGAAGGTGCTAAAAATATATTACCTATGTAAGTTGTTAGCTTATTGTTGCCTAGAAATGTAATCATTTTGATTCTTTGCAGGTGGAACCTTTGCCTTGTATTCGCTTCTTTGCCGATCTTCTAAAATGGGCTTTTTTTGTCCTTCTCAAGTGAAGTATGCACACCCATCTTATGAAGCTGCGGCTTCTGGAAAGGAAAGCATGAGTAGTCTGGCTCTTAAAGAATTTTTTGAAAAGCATTATTATTCACGTCTTATCCTCTTTCTAGTAGTTCTCCTAGGGACTAGCATGGTAATTGGGGATGGGATTCTCACTCCAACAATGTCTGGTATGTGGTAGAGACTTAAGGATCTGTGAGTTTTTCGCCAACTCATGATTGAATGATTTGCAATGTCTTCTGTTGTTTTGCAGTCCTATCTGCAGTCTCTGGCCTAAAAGTTAAGATTCCTCATTTAAATGAGTGTAAGTATATGTGTATTTCTATGATTTTTGAGTTTTTAACTCAATGCCTCGTGCTTAGGCCACTTGTGATTAAATTACATAGTAGATGTATACATGTATTTTGTACAAATTAAAATTTGATGAGTTGTACGAGCCTGTTCTCATCGACTGAACTGAACTGAAGTGAATATTTTATAAGAGAAGGAAATTAGGAGCTGAACTGAACTGAAAATAAACGTATGAGAACAGGCTCGTAGAGTTCAATCTTCTTTAGAGTTTTATCTTTCACATCACTATTTTATTGCATCTTTAAGACACTGAGTTGTTGGCAACATGATGTTAAGCATTCCGAATTACCTCATTTTTATTGGCAACATGATGTTAAGCATTCTGAATTACTTTATTTTTATTTTTATGAATCAGATCTTACTCTTGGTGTGGCCTGCATTATCTTGATGGGAATTTTTTCTCTTCAGCATTTTGGGACTAGCAAAGTTGGCTTCCTTTTTGCTCCTATTCTTGTTGCTTGGCTCCTCTGTGTTGGTGGAGTAGGGTTATACAATATAATTCACTGGAATCCTGGGGTCATTCGTGCAGTTTCACCATATTATGTCTACAAATTTTTCAAAGTAACTGGAAAAGTGGGATGGAGTTCACTTGGGGGTGTTGTCTTATGTATTACAGGTACTACTGAACTAATGAAAGTTACAAATGTTCCTGTTAAATTGTATATGGAAAATGAGTTGTATGCTAGACTGGGTTTTCATATTCTTTTTTGTGGTTTTACGGCTTTACCAGGTGCAGAAGCAATGTTTGCCGATCTTGGCCACTTCTCTCAGCTCTCTTTGAGGGTAATTTTATATTCTCTTACTCACTGAATTATTTGCCATTTGCATAATGCTCTTTACCTGAAAAGGGTAGTCTTCGTTTTTCAGCATTTCCATAGCAGTAACTTTTATGTGCTATAATGGCAGATTGCATTTTCCGGATTTGTCTATCCTTGTTTAGTTCTTGCATATATGGGTGAGGCTGCTTATCTTTCTAAGCATAGCGAAGATCTTCAGAGTAGTTTCTACAAGGCAATACCTGGTATGTTTATGTGGGCAAATAGGTGTTTTTAATTTAATGATCAGCAACTTAGTGTGCTGAATAAATTGGCTTTTTGAACAATGAGTTAATCTGGGAAACTACCATTTGTCTTTTCTTTCTATTATTTCTGTATCTTTATGAATTACTACTGTAATCCTGTTAATAGTGCTTTATGACACGCTTTAAAAGAATATATTTAACAAGTCAACAATAAATGAGATATTTTTATTTTTTGCATTGTTGAGGCTGCTTTTCTGTACTATCTTGTTCTTTTGCTTGTAACTATAGCAGAGATAATATGATCATCTCTTAGTTTTTACTCTTCAATTAATGTTTTCTGTAATTTGATGTTACTTCTGTTTGCCTGCTGTGTTCAGAGTCCATTTTTTGGCCCTTTTTTGTGATCGCTACGCTTGCTACTGTTGTTGCCAGTCAAGCAATTATATCTGCGACATTTTCCATCATAAGTCAGTGTCGGGCCTTAAAGTGTTTTCCACGTGTCAGAATGGTGCATACATCTGACGATATATATGGCCGGATCTACATACCAGAGGCCAATTGGATATTGATGGTGCTTTGTCTAGCTGTTGTCCTGGGCTTTAGGGATACAGATAAAATAGGCAATGCTTATGGTACCACCTCATCCCTCTTTTTCTGTTTCTTGAAAATATGTATTACTGTTTACTAGTTCATGTTCTATTTTCACTTAAATTCCAAAAAGAATTCCAGAAATGCTTCAATGATAGATATCATCAATGTACTAATTGGTATCTTCTACCAGACAATATTCAGATTAATTGCTGTTAGTCTTTGAAAATCAAGAATTATTCAGGTTCAGAGGTTTTCTGCTGTTCTAAGGATTTTGATATCATTTTATGCAGGTCTGGCAGTGATTACTGTAATGTTTGTTACAACGTGCTTAATGTTTCTCATTATAGTGACTGTGTGGAAAAAACATGTCCTTGTGGCTCTCTTTTTTGTGCTGTTCTTCGGATCAATTGAGCTCTCATATATGTCAGCTTGTCTGATCAAGATACATCAAGGAGGCTGGGTCCCTTTGGTTTCTTCTCTTATAATTTTGTGTTTGATGTCATTATGGAAGTATGGTACTATGAAGAAACAGGCGTTTGAGCATCAAAACAAGGTGGGCTTGGACAGATTTTTGACTCTTGGTCCTAGCCTTGGTGTTCTCAGGGTTCCTGGAATTGGTTTGATATACTCTAATGTGACCACTGGGGTCCCACCGATGTTTTCTCATTTTGTTGCAAACTTCCCTGCTTTTCATCAAGTCCTCATTTTCGTGACAATCGAAACACTACTAATCCCCAGAGTTCCTGTTAATGAGCGTCTTGTGATTGGTCGGGTTGGTCCTTTAGAACTCCATATATTTCGTTGCACTGTGAGGTATGTTATATTTCCCGTTTCATTTTCTGTATGGCATGAGCATATACTAGAGTAAGAATTTATAGTAGAGTAAGTACGAAACTTGACAAAAGAAATAATTAATTGATTTACATTCAGGTATGGATATAAGGATACTAGAGACACTTATGACTTAGAGTCTAAGCTAATTGACGAGGTAGCAGAGTTCCTGCAACATGGACCCCATGAGAGCGAAACACTGACATCTTCAAACAACGTTGCTGATACGGATGCTGCTCCAGAGGGTGGGGCTGTTACTGTTGGCAGGAGAAGAGTAAGGTTTAGAGAAGTTGAGCCGAGTGGCCCAAATGTCAATGTCAAGAAGCTTATGGAGGCAAGACAATCTGGAGTAGCATACATGATAGGCAATACTTGTGTAGTAGCAAGAGAGGAATCATCTTTCTTTAAGAAAATAGCCATTAACATTGTATACAGATTCCTGAGACAGAACTGTCGAAGACCAGCAGTGGCTCTTGGGATTCCGCACACATCACTGATCGAAGTAGGAATGGTTTACCATGTATGACGGACAGACAACTTGTTAGTGTGCTGGTGGATGCGATGGTTTACCATGTACACGTCGTTTATATGTACAAAATTGGAGAGGTTAGGATATAAATGTGTTTGCTTTTGCACATAGTTTTCATATGTGTACAGGTAACCTGTTATAGTTTTTGGATAGACTGCTTGACCTTAAACTGAGTAGTTTAAAGCTAGAATTCTTTCAAAGATAGACCTTATGTAATTAACGTTTTTTGTTTACAAAAATGCCTGAAATTAGGACAAAGTCAGCATAATTTTATAGGTCAACGCTTGTTGCTTAATTGACGTTACTCAGCGAGTCGGCAGCCTTTATGTGGCGGTCTGTTTTGCTTTTCATCCCGTTAACTTCTGTACTTTTCATCATAATCGAGAATAATAAGCTTTTTTTTTTCTTTTCAAAAAAATGCAAATTGTAAATATGTCCTTCGTCATAATTGAGAATAATTGAGAAAAAACTATTATTCGAAGTATCCTCCCCAACTATTTTACATCATAATTGAGAATATTTAGTTTATTTTTTTTCCATTAAGAAAAAGGGGTGTTAAATACTGCCATTCAAAATGATCAGAACCGTCAACATTTAGTGTGAATAGACAACCACCACCACCACACTGACCTGTGACGTACTACCACCATCTTGACTGGCGATGACCACTACTACCACCATCCTCATCGGCGATGACCACCACCACCACCCGACCAACAACCCACCACCTTTAGCGGGAAGGTGGTGGTTTTTTTTATTTAAATTTCAAGCAACCACGGTAATCGAAGCCTAAAACCGGTTACCGTGTGTGGTAACCAGTGCCCAAAATCGATTACTGTGACCGGTTACTGTGTACGGTAACCAATTTTGGGCTCCGATTACCATAGAAACAGTTACCGTGCGTAGTAACCGGAGCCCAAAGCCGATTAGTTTCCGTGGTAACCGGAGCCAAAACCGGTTACTGTGATTGGTAATCAATTTTGGGCTCCGGTTACCATGGAAACAATTAAGGTGCACGGTAACCGGGGCCCAAAACCGGTTACCGTGTGTGGTAACCGGAGCCCAAAACCGGTAGTTCCTTGATAACCGATTTTGGGCTTCGGTTATTGTGGTTGCTTAAAAAAAAACCACCACCTTCCCGTCGACCAGGGAAGGTGGTGGGTCGTCATAGAGGGGGTTGTTGGTGGGTCGTCGGTCAAAAGGGGTTGTGGGTCGCCGGTTGGAAGGGGTTGTGGTTTGTCGGGAGGATAAAGGGATGGTGAAGTAGTAAGGGTACGATTGTCCATTCACATCATATGTTGGCGGTGGTGATCATTTTTGTAGGCGGTGTTTAGCAATTCATAAGGAAAAAAAAAAACCAAGCCTAGTTTCTCAATTGAGTTCTTAAATGTTGTTGACTCACCTCTCTTCCTCCTTCCTTTCTTCTTCCTCCTTGTGGCGGTTTCTTCACCAAAATCTCAAACAACATTATATACACCAACCCCAACCAACCATTCGAGCAAAGGTACTAGATTTTGCAATTGACAATTCGATTATTAACTTAGAAGTTGCTTTAATGGTGGAAAGAACACTCAAAGGCTGCTTCAACGTATTGTCGCTTCACGAAGGTATCGCCGCTTCGTGGTGGTAAGCTAAACAACCGAACAAAAGATTCCCTAATAGCAAAGTATGTAAATTAGGCCCATATTAATCCCTTAAGGAAAGGTATTTGCCGACCATTGAGTAGTTGAAGCGGCGAGGCAGTGCTAGGTCGTGGGGTTGAATTGGAGGTAAAGCTGTCAATTTGGGTATTCGGGTCTCTGGTTTGAGTCAGGTCAATTTAGGTCGGGTTATTATTGTTTTGGGTGTTTTTGTCCCTCGGGAGAGTTATAGCTCAAAGACTGATCCGACTGCGCATGTACCTGCAAAACAACGGAGACTCCGGGTGGTAGGAGCTCTGCCTCTGACGATCAAGTTAGAATGCGTTGGAGAATGAAAAAGGTGCGGAAAGTAAAGAGGATCTTCTTGGATTCCGAGATCAGGTGTTTTCTCTTATGTAAGAGAATGTAGGGTAGGTGTAATAAATGATTGAATGTGTCCCAAAAATTAGGGATATCTCCCTATTTATAGGGTTGTTGGAGAACGTGCCCTTTCTTAGGTCACTTGACCTAGATTTTGTGTGCTGTGCCATTTTACGGCGTTCTTGGGAATTGGGTCTTGAAGGCCGCAATTCTAGGAGGTATTTGAGCCTGACACATGTCAACTGGTAATTAGCCCAAGTTGACTTGCTTCGGCTTGACACGTGGCCCTCTCTGATTGGTCCATATGGATAGGGTATTTTTACCCAAACCATTTTCCCCTTACAGTTATGACATGCGACGCTCCATGAGTGGTGAACAGTAAAAAGACTGTTCACCTTTTGGGGTGTGATGGGGATGCCCCCATTTTACCCCTCTATAAATAAGGTTTTACCCCCCCCCCCCCCTCTTCCTTCCAACTTTTCACAATCATTTTTACTTCTTAGGGAGAGAAAAAGAGAATTATAGTGAGAGAGACTCTGCCCCCGCCTGTACCGAGTTTTTAAGCTTTCGTTTGCGTTTCGAGGATTACATCCGGTCAACGTTTGTAGCAGTTTTCATATTTTCAGAGTCAAGTTAAAGGTAACCGCCTCTACTCTCTTCAAGCTTTTTGTACTTTTTCAGCTTGTATACTTAGACTTCCAAAATAAAAATGAACTCTCCATCGATACACACGACACTGCGTAGGTCTTTCAACCGGCTCCTGGTACGACTGAATCTAGAACCGGGGTGACTTTTATGGATGTTCGAACCTGCTTTGCTAATCTCCGCCCCTCCGTCTCCGTGTCTATGCAGGTCACAATGACCAGAGTCAAACAGACAATTATCAAGCCTAGGAAGCGGCGCACTCGGGAAGTGCCCGCTGATGAAATTATTCCGAATGAGGAATATGAGGGTTTGGAGGAGCAAGCGGGATCTTCTACAGGTGGCACCCCTTCTACCCCAAATGACTCAATTCCGGGGGAGACATGCGGTGAGGATGATGCCTCTTCCCTAGCCTCAGGTGAAGAGGGGTTAGGCGGTGAGGAAGCCGGCAAAAGATCTAGGTCAGAAGCATCGGCCTCTGATCAGGAGGATATTGCGGCTGACTATCAGCAGCCCTTAGGGGGCCAGTCCTGCCCAATCCCTTGCAAAGAAGGATGCTTTCTAGAGACCTAGAGGTCATGAGGAGTTGCTTCCGGGCTTTTGCGGAGGCTCACCAGGTTGGAGAAGGCTGGAGAATAGAAGTTCTGCCTGCTGAGGCAACAATTGTCTGGGAGGACAACATTAAAAATGCCGACAACTGTTTCGGCTGCTATGAAGCCGTTTTTAGAGTCGGCCTCCGCTTTTCCCTTCACAGGGGTATTAAGAAAATTTTGAAGTGGTATGACTTAAGAGTCTGGCAACTTACCCCCAACTCATGGATCAACGTACTGAGCTACATCGCCGCCTGCGATTTCAAAATATAGAATCAAGATTTGTGCGAGTTTGCTCATATGCACTACATGAGCCGGGCTCCAGGCGGGTCTAAGGTGTGGTACACACGAACCACCCACCCACAGTATCTGATGTCTTTGGAAAAACCGTCCAAATGGTCCGGCTGGAAGGAGAAGTTTTATTTGATCTCCTTTCCCAAGTTGGGACACAACTGTTTCCTGCGCCGGTACTATTTAGGAAGAAATGCACCCTTCCCCGAATTCCGTCTAGGGCCTATCGACTTCTTTGAAACTAGGACCGAGCCCTTGGAGGATTGGACCCAAATAATTTTCCCTAAGGACTACTTACCCCATCCAGACTTTTTGAAGGATGAGGCCTTCCTTTCCGCTTGTGGGCTTAGCTCCATCTTCCCACATCGTAGACTTACTATACATCTGGCAATTTTCTATCTATATTAATGCCTCTACTGTTTTATTGGTCTTTTTAACCAAATTTTTCCTTTCTTTTTTGCAGAAGACGCAACGAAAATGGTTGACCCAAACAAAACGCATGCTAAATCGGTTGCTCAACTAAGGAAAGAGCAGCTGTTGGAGAAGAAAGCTACCTTGGAGGCCAAGAAGGCTAAGAAGGGCGGGGTAAGATCGCCTGCCATGATTTCTAGCTTTTGCATCAACTTAGATGTTTACCGGCTGTACCCATATCCCTTAATTTGGAAATTTGCCAACTGTAACTTTGCTTGTCATTTGTAGGATAGAAGCAAATCAATTTCTCGCTCCATTACAAAGCTGTTCAAGCGGCCAAGGGAGGAGCTAAACAAAACCCCGGCTAAGACGGGAAGGAAGGACCCTCCTCGCACAACCTCTTCAGCTAACCCAGATAGACCCACAACCGGGAGCAAAGGCTCGGTTGTAATGAAAGCTCAGAGCGAGCTGCTAGGAAACAACCGGGTGCTTCTACAACATCAAAGAGTGGCGTGCCACTCACTACTGCTGTCGGCTCTACAGCGGCTAAAGGGGTTGAGTCTTAGCTTCGCCTCCAATATTCGGTCGGACAATTGATTAGGTTCGGTCACACCTCAGTTCGACCGAACCTCTGAAAGGTTCGACCACACCTCTTCTTGAATTTGCTTCCCTTGGCTCCCTTCAACCTAAAACCTTCTCCTCTTTGAAGACCCCGGTTCCTACAATACACAAGCAAGAAAATCAAAGTAGGAAGTAGGCAAATGAGGGAAAATCTAGGAAAGAAGACAACTAAAAGAAAGGAGAACTAAAGGTAAGAGAAAGGGGGGCAAACAAGCTACAAGTATGGGGAAAACTCATTCGAATGAACTCTTAATCGTGGCATAAATTCCACTCATCAACGTCCCCCACACATGTCTTTTGCTTGTCCTTGAGAAAATAAAGCTATAAGAAGATAAACTAACAAAGTAAAACCGAATTTGCTTTTAGTGTAAGCAATAAGCCATTTAAACCTCAAGGTCGCCGATGAGGATGAGTTGTGATCTCGTGAGGGTTTCCCAAGAGCTTTCCCACAACTCTAATAAGACTGCGTCCAAGACAAACCAAAAGGGGAAGACGAGAATATGGATCATCAAGCACATGCAAATCATAATCAAATCAAGCTTTTATAAACAATACAAAATAGGGAAACTAGACGCATCTTACAAAGTCATGCCTTCTCCATATGCTTGAAGTCTAGCTCCCTCCACCAACTAGTGACTCAACTTTCCTAAGTCAAAAGAGCATAAGAGGGTTGTAACGTTGGCTAGTGGGTAAAGGTGTGGTAAAATCTGGAAATTGGTGCTTAGCCTAATCGTGAAACAAAGGGTGAT